CTTGATGAGCTCGACGACAATACCCGCGGCCTCGCGCGCCTTTTCTTGGCCAACAAGGCCCGAGCCAATGGGCAGGGCAGAGCCGTCGACGTCCAGGCCCAGGCCCTTGACGTGCGTGTGCGACGCCACGCGCTGCGTCTTGATCGTGCTCACGACTTCTTCGATCTACGAGGTCCATGAAGCGCCGCTCATCGCTGTCATCAGGCGGCGGTGCATGGGCGCTTGGGCCATAGAGCGCGCGGGCAGCCAGGCTCATGCGCTTCCGCCCGGGCAGCCATGCATCGCGCTTGCCATCGTCGCGATCCACGCACCTTCATTTCGGCGGATGTGCGGTGAAATGGAATTTGATCCTTGTGGAAGGTTGCTATTGATTGGATATTAACAGGAAGATCCACTTGCTTTCAATTGGCTATAATCATTTCACAGGCGCTCTGCGATTGGCTGTTTTCGAAAAAGATCTTTCCAGAATTAAGCAAGGAAATTTACCGTGATTTCCCCACCCATGTACATGTACACCGACGCCAACAATTGAGTACACAAAGTGGCATGCAGGGATATTGTATGAAGACTGAGCCTAAAAAATGCCGAGAGGTGTCTTCGGTACATGCTGCTTCCGATCGCGGCGTGACATGCGCCCCATAGTGGGACCCACATTGGTCACTGATGTACACGTCCAACATTATTTCGTCGACGATTGAACGCACACATCGCAAACACGCAAGTGGTTGGTTATACATGTTTCGGTCTCAGGCCAGCATGGGACACGACTCGACAAAAAACACTTAGACGTGTACGTGATCGGTAGGAGACGACGGCTTCATGCCCCCCCGGCCCGGGGGCGGGGTCAAGTCGCTTAAACTACTCGAGGCGCTTGCAGCATTGCATTCATAGTGGCTTTGTTTACCTTAAGGTTGTGTCGAGGAATACGCCCCTACGTTTCTGACTGTGAGCACAAAGGGTCACGTCTGCGACGCGTACTGCTGTGTCGTCGCACAGTGCTTCTTGGCGGGGCGATCCTGGGTCCAACCTCATCAGCCAGATATATCATACAGTAAAAACGAATGTACCGAGTCCTCGTCGTGTCGTGGCGTGCGGACAAGGCACGTCGTCGCACCGGCCGACGGCTACAATGTCACTTTAGCGGCGTCTTGCGAGCGGCCTCGCACCTCGCGGAGCGACAGCTGCGCGCGCAACACCGCGTTTTCTGCTTCGAGCTCTTGCAGACGTGCACGTATCGGGATCATCTCGGGGCTGTTGGCAGCGCACACCGATCTTGAGCCCGCGTGGATCTAGATCCACCTGTCACAACGTTGACGGTCCCATATCATCCTACCTCGTGGACCTGGGCTTCTTGGCGCTTGACACGGACGTGGAGCGAGCCAAGGTTTGAGGCCATGGCGTCCATCTTGTGCCCAAGCGATAGGAGTGAGCCTTGCACGCTGTTCATGAAGCGCGCCAGATCCGGCACGGCAATGCCGACCCGGGGGACTTCCTGTGCCATCGTAAAATCTCAACCAAGGCGGCAACATAGATCACTTACCTCGACGGGGGCCTTCATGGCTGCTTTTGCTGGTGGCTCAACGACGCTCTTCGCTTGTGTCTATAGTGATGCGAATGATGACCTTCCTGCATGCCGAATGAGCCACCTTGAGCATTGGGCTGTATGCTGGCCTCGCTGCAAGCTTCTCAAGCTCTAGAGCGTCTTCGTCGCTCGCGTCAAAGCTCGCGCGGGCTAGATCGGCGTCCCCGTGGTCGGTGGTCACGTGCAGCGTGTCGTCGCTCTCGTCGTCAGAGGCTTGCGCGTCGTAGCCCATGTGGATACGAATGCGCTGGCGCAGCTCGGACGCGAGGCCCTTGGTGCCCAGCGAGTGCTTCCCGCAGTACGACCTTGCAGTATGGTACGGCAAGCGCTCAATGTCCTTTTCCGTCAGCTTCATGACGACTTGGATTGTCTGTCTCCCGGGAGCCAATCACGGACGAGCAGCCGGCCAATCAGACGCGGCGATCCAGTCCAGGTCTCGGGGGGCAAGCTCCATCCAATAATGCTTGGGTGGGGGGGCTTCTCCAAGTGAAGGTACTCTCCATAACAAGCAGACAGACCCGCCATCGATAGGTAGGTACATTACGTACAAGAGATGACGTCTGGTTTATGTGAAAAGTCCGTGGGCGATGTACTTCCTATACTATTCGAACTTGCATCGCACGATGGCGGGGATGACTCGACGTGGTCCGAGGGTCTGGCGACATCCATCACGACGCGTGATGTGTTGAGATGAGTCTACTGCCAGCCTACATGTATCAGAGACGATAATACTTTTTGGGCTCATTTTGATGTTTGCGTGAATGATTCAAGACATCCATGGCTTTGGAACCAGAAAACACGCAACCAGGTGAAAAATGGTGAATGTCTCGATGAGTTTTCCTCATCATTGGCATGCAAATAGAAACCGCACCGCCGATATAGGATGAGAAGAGCTATAGGCAGAGATCCACGACACACACGGAGAGCGAAAAGAAGAGTGTTTGGGTTACATTCGTACTCATATTTCCTGGCCGGGCAAGGCTTTAAAAGCACAAAAGTCAGCGAAGACTTGGTTGCACGCATCATTACATCGATCAGATCACAAACACTCTATGCTACAAGGATGTCAATTAGGCCGCGCGAATCGAGTTGCCATCGGCGGCCGGCGGCACCGAGTGGTGCATGCAGTAGAGCCCCCGGCGCACGACTTTCTCGCAGCTTTCGTGAGCACAGCGCTTGCCGCCGCCGTGGGCGACGCAAAAGCCTTCGCCTCGGTCTTTGCGCGAACAGCCTTCTTTGGTGCACTTTCGGACCCCGCCGTGCTTGTGGCAGAGCCCGTGGCGCTGGATCGTCTTCATGCAGTTGGCGTACTTGCACGTGCGGGGCGGCTTCTTGGTGTTATCCTGCTGTTCGTCGCTCCTTCCATGCGGCGGCGAGGACGAGCCCACGATAGGCGTCGGTGGGAGCGGGGCGGGGGGTAGACAACTGTACCGTGTTGTCTCTGCGGGGGGCTGGTAACCGTAGGGTCGCGAGATCGACGTGTAGTTGTGCTGGTACTGGATGTTCGTGCCAGGCAAGTACGTTGGCATGTACGAAAGCGTGTCAAAGCTGGGTGGTACCAACGCTTGCACTGGACGCGGACTCAGCTCGTATCCTTGCCCGCGCTGAGGGAGACCGCGAGGTTCGTGGTGGTACTGTGGTGGCGTGCCGTAGGAGGACCAGGACGCCGGCGCCTCAACGGTTGCCTGCACGCGCGGGCTGTCGACGGGCTTGTATCCACTCGACATACTATACGTGGTCGTGGGCGTTGGTGCATTCGCATACATAGCACCAAGCGGCGTGCACGGCGAAGACGACGAATACGAGACCGCACGCGTCTCGGTCTCCTTGGCGCCGTACGTAGGATGCTGCGCGCGGCTGGCGTCGTTATTGGTTATGAAACCAATGTCGTATTGAGGCGGCGGCTCGTACGTCGTGGGCAGTTCATTGACGTTCTGCGGAGGCGGGTCCGAGAGCTGGCACACCTGGGCGTACCGGTGCGACGGGCGATGGCGCGCGACGGGCGAGTGTAGAATCTCGTTGAGCATACGCACTTCGCCTTGCGAGATCGCGAGCGACGCGACGTGGGACTCCATGACTGGTTTGTGGACGCGTGATCGATGGAAATACTGACCTTGGCGCGGTTGCGCAGACCAACCGCGGCCTTTCGCGAGCCAATCAGATCGCTTGAAACATACACTTTTTCGATCGTTTTTGTCCTATCGGCGCTCGATTATGTGCGATCGAAGCCACAAAACGCCCGCGTCTTGATGACGTGCACACAGCGTTGTCCATAATGTGAATATATATACGGATGAAAAACACCCAACTTTACCTGAAACCGTGAAACGGGTACGCGCCATGTTCGGGATTTCCCGCGGCCCAACGTTGAAGCTAACGTACATGTGGTGCCACAGAGCGGCGCGTGGTGCCACGCTGGATCTTGGTCATCACTGACCCATCGCGCCTCGTTACCATGAGCCAACGCTTTTGTGTGGTTTAACGCAGGCGGTCCCACGCTGGAGACGTACGAGTGAAGATGGCCAAGAAATACAGTGCACTAATAGATTGAAATGGCTGTTTGCTACCGTATGAGAGCGAAACATGTCATTGGCTACGTGTTTGCCGTGATGACGCTACGGGACAGCCTCTGTAGCATTTAGCCTCTCACTGAGGTGGTATTCTGTCGGGTGGTCCGAGTACAGGAGCCTGCGTACGACCTCGAGCGAGCTATCTCTCGGCGAGTGGGGTCCACCACGCGATGGATCTCTCCGTGCGCAGCTCACTCCCAACGTCAAAGTGCTGGTGCCAACTCCAACGCATCTACGTATGCGAAGTCTTTGAGTTAGTATTTGCTAATTTGATTTCAACGCGAACACGTTTGATTAATTGACTGAAGTGGTCCGCGTGCAAGAAAATCTTTATCGTGGCGGTGATGCGACAACAGCTGTCTATTGTACTCGAAGTCGTGTGTGGCCCATTTCCAAGTAAGTAATGGACGAGGTGCTTCGCGACATGGCTGTGTCACAAAAACTTAACCAAAATTCCCCGATTTGCAGCCCGTAGCATAAAACTAAACCCGCCTCGCCCACTACTAGGCTGATGGGCACGAATACATTCAATTTCGCTGAAGCGTTCGGCCTTCGATGGAGGAACTTCTTTGCGCTATTTCGCACCGAGTGAGTCCAATGGAAGGTCGAGGTCTGCTCGCGTCATGTCAAAGCTCAGCGAACGCATCTGCATTTCGATATTTTCTTTTTTCTTTCATTGGTACCATAAGAGGCCGACTTCCACGCGTTGGCTGCTGCGTGCTTCCTTGGCCGTGTCAAGCTATGAGCACTAAACTAAACTAAACTAAACTAAACTAAACTAAACTAAACTAAACGATCATCACATGAATACTACTGATACTCGCACGCCGTAGCGCGTAGTAGTTATGATCTCCCTTTACGCCATACAACGCCAGGGTCTCCAAGTCATTGCTAAAGTTGACGGCATATCCGCCACTCGATTTGATCCACAACCCGACCCTCGTTCGAATCGATTCAAGTCGACTATAGTCGAAAAAGACTGACTAAACTGAAACTGAACCCAATAACGGTCGCGACCCCCGGAAGAGACACTTTCTTTGCCAAAGGATGGAGGCGCCGAGTCCGGCCCGCGACCGGCGCGGCGAGCCCAAGAAAGCCGACGGGCTCTTCACACTGCAGCAGGACCCGGCGTACCAACTCCACTTTGTCAACCACGAGAAGCCCAAGCCGGAGCGGCCCACGCACGCCGGCCTCGCGTCGCCGTCGTCATTGCGGTACGCGACACGGTCCTCGACGCCCGTCCAAGCGACGAGCGTCAAGTCACCCAAGAAGGTCCTCGACATTCCGCTCTTGAAGAGCCCCCCCAAAGAAAAGCGCACAAGCGTGCGCAAGCCCGTCTTGCCGGACGTTCCGACGTCACCCAAGCCAGGGTACGCGTCCTCACCACTGCGTTCGAAAGAGCCATCGAGTGGGCTCCATTTTCTGCGCCAGTCGCTCTCCGAGCACGAGCCGTCGGCGCCCGACGTGGTCGAAGACGAGCTCATCGACGAGACGAGTGCGCCGCCGCCACCGTCGCACGTGCCTCCCAGCGACGAGTCGGCCGACGAGGCGCTCATCCGCGCGGCCAACCTCCAGACCGGCGAAGACGCCATCGCGTTCTTCGCGCGCAATGGTTCCAACAGCCAGATCAAGTTTGTGCATCTCAACCGCGCGACGTCGGTCCTCTTTCGTCCGTACGACCTCATGGTGGTCCGACCACTCGACGTGCAGCCCGAGCATTTCACCATGTCAGCCAGCGGCCTCGTGCACATTTCGCCCGGCTCGCCGAGCGAATTCATTGCGCTCGCCGAGTGGATGCGGCAGTCGACGCTCTTCAACGTGCTCACGAGCTTTCGCTTTTACAAGTACTACTTGGTCAACAAGGCGTTTAGCGCGTGGCGCGCCCGAGTCCGCTTCAAGCTCTTTTGCCGGCAGCGCAAAGCACTAGCGTCGACCTTGTACCTTGGCAAGGCCAGCTTTAGCCTCCCGCTGCTGCAAGTGAACCGCGTCATGATGGAGCTCCAAAGCGTCCTCCTCCTCGACTTTCGCGCGCAAAAGACGTACGAAGCGGCGGCGTTCGTCGAGTACCAAGCCACGAAGCGCGCAGAAGCCTCCAAGCAGTTTGAAACGTGCGTCGAGAAGCTCCAAGTGATTGCGCAAAAGGTCTGTTCGGACGTAAACAGCCTCGCGCGCCAAGCCCACCAAAACGACGATCTTAACGACCTTGCGGCGTCGGTTCACGCCGACAAGACCAAGTCGATCGTGGCCGCCAAAACCGAGCAGCAGCAGCGCAGGAAGCTGCTCAAGCGCGCCGCCGAAGAAGCCGCGATGCTCTGCGACTTTATCCGGTTGATCGACTACATTACGACCGAGAATTTGGTGCTACTGGCCGTGCAGAGCTGCCGCGAGTTCCTTGCCGAGCTCTCGAAATCGCCGCGCAAAACTGGACTCTTTGAGACGACGATTCACTTTGGCGACGTCGACACGGTCTTTTCCCCCACGTGCGAGCAGATCCAAGGGATCGTTGTGTCGATGACTGACGACATTGTCGCCGCCGTCAACTCGGTCTCGCGCATCATCTACCTTCGGCAGTTCAACCAGTACATTGCCAATGCCATTTCGGACGGTCCGCACATCGGTCCGACCATCACCATGAGCTTGGACTTTCAGCTCATTCGCGGCGAGTTGGTGGCCAAGATCCTCGCCGACTACCTCGAGGCCGCCGAATACGTCAAGATCTTTGATAGCGTCCGACCCATCTACGAATACGACAAGCAGTGGGATTTCGAGAACGACTACTCGCTCCGCGGCCACACGGTCACGTCGCTCAAGGCCGATATGCTCCAGATTGCCACGTGGGAAAAGGAGCTTGAGAAGATGCGGGCAGGGCAAACGATCGGCATCTTGCATGTCGAGAGCCGCAAGCTCAAGCAGAATCTGATTCCAATGACTGCCGCCAAGTTGGACGCGATGAAAGGCCTCGTCAAAGACCAAGCCCGGGCGAAATGCAAGGCGCAGCTCACCGAGTACAAGCAGCGCATCCAGCTCGTGAGCCAGCGGCCGCAGCACCTCAAGGAGTTTGCCGCGCACGTCGAGCGCGTCCAAGGCCTCAAAGCCAAACAAAAAGCACTCGTCAAGAACACCAACGTCGTCGACGAGATGTACCGGCTATTGGGCAACTACGGCGTGCGCATTAGCTCGGAAGACATGGTGCAGCTCGACGACCTCCGGTCCGTGCAAGAGAGCTACAAGGAAGAAACCGAGGCGGTCGACGTGTTTATTCAAGGCAAGCTCGGCGAGATGACGACGCAGCTGGATGCGAACATTGCCCGTCTCGACGAGCAAGTCGTGCAGCAGAGCGAGGTGCTTCAAACCGGCGTCTTTATTGATGTCGGGCACTTTGAAGACACGAATCTCGTGCTCAGCGAGCTCGACGTTGTCAAGCAGCGGCTCGCGCAGCTCGAAGAGATGAGCAAGCAGTATACCGAGTACCAAGGGCTCTTCAACATTGACCCGTACAACTACACCAACCTCGCGACGACGCTCGACTATTACAACACTGTCGAAGTCCTTTGGACGTCGATCGACAAGTGGAACGAACAGCAGCGCAACGTGCTCACCAACCCGTTCTCCGAAGTCAACGTCGACGAGCTGGCAAAAGACGTCGCGATAGCGTTCAAGGACGCGTACTCGATGCACAAGAAGCTCAGCAACGACGTGACCGCGCTCTTGAAGGACAAGACGGCCGAGTTCAAGCAAACGATCCCGACGATCCTCGAGCTCGGTAGTCCGAGCATGAAGGACCGACATTGGGAGAAGATCTTCAAGGCGCTCAACCAGCCGTGGTACCCCGGCATCTCGTTTACACTCGACAATCTCATCCAGTACGACATTTTCGAGTTCAAGGACCTCGTGTCCGAAGTCGCCGCCACGTCGTCGGGCGAAGCGCAAATTGAAGCGTCGCTCAACAAGATCAAGCACGGGTGGGAAGCCACCGAGTTTGTGTGTCTCTCGCACCGCGACTCGAAGGAGATGTTTATCCTCGGCGGCCTCGAAGATATCTTGACGCTCCTCGAAGACAACCAAGTGACGCTGCAGACGATGATGGGATCCCGGTACATCATGGGCGTCAAGGACGAAGTCGAGCGCTGGAACAAGAAGCTCGCGCTCCTCTCCGAAACCATCGACGAGTGGGTGACGTGTCAACGCAACTGGATGTACCTCGAGACGATCTTTTGCGCCGAAGACATCCAAAAGCAGCTGCCCATCGAAGCCCAGAAATTCCAGCTCGTCGATAAGAACTGGAAGACGACCATGGCGCGGACGCACGACGATCCCGCGTGTCTCCGTGCGGTCGAGAACGGCACCGAGATGCTCGACCAATTCAAGGCGTCCAACCAGCTCCTCGAAGAGATTCAAAAGTCGCTGGAAGACTACCTCGAGACGAAGCGCATGGCGTTCCCACGCTTTTACTTTCTCTCGAACGACGAGTTGCTCGAGATCCTCAGCCAAACCCGCGACCCGCGCGCCGTGCAGCCGCACCTCGGCAAGTGCTTTGATGCGATGAAGTCGGTGCATTTCGAAGAAATTCCCGGACAGTCGACGCCCAGCAACCGGATCACGGCCATGGTGTCGGGCGAAGGCGAGCGCGTCAACTTTCCCAACGTCGTCGTCGCGCAAGGACCGGTCGAAATGTGGCTGCTCGAAGTCGAAAAAGCCATGCGCCACAGCCTGTATACGGAAGCGTTCAAGTCCTTCTCGTCGTACCCGGAGGAGCACGCGATTGATAGGAAAGAGTGGCTCTTTGCGTACCCGTCCCAGGTCATCATCATGATCGACCAAGTGTTTTGGACCAAGAACGTCTCGCGGGCCATCGCAGCCGTCGAGAGCGGCGCAGACAGTGCGGCCGTCGACACGTTTCTCGAGTTTAGCCTCGCGCAGATCGATGGCATGGTCATTCTCGTCCGAAGCGACTTGAGCAAGCTCCAGCGCATCCTCATGGGCGCGCTCATCACGATCGACGTCCACGCGCGGGACGTGGTCCGGTCGCTCCTTGCCAACAAGATTTCGTGCCTCACGGACTTTGAATGGACGAGGCAATTGCGCTACTACTGGGAGGCGGATGTCAACAATTGCGTGTGCCGTCAAACCAACACGCGCTTCCTCTATGCGTACGAGTACCTCGGGAACACGCCGCGGCTCGTGATTACGCCGCTGACCGACATTTGCTACATGACGCTCACGGGCGCGCTGCATTTGCGACTGGGGGGCGCCCCGGCTGGCCCCGCCGGCACGGGCAAGACCGAGACGACCAAAGATCTCGCCAAGGCGCTCGCAGTGCAATGCGTCGTCTTCAACTGCTCGGACGGGCTCGACTACAAGATCATGGGCCGGTTCTTCTCGGGACTGGCGCAGGCCGGCGCGTGGGCCTGCTTTGACGAGTTTAACCGTATCGACATTGAAGTGCTCAGTGTCATTGCGCAGCAGATTCTGTGCATTCAACAAGCCATCATTTGCAACGCCGACCAGTTTGACTTTGAGGGCAAACTCATTCGATTGAACACGGGCTTTGGGGTCTTTATCACGATGAACCCGGGGTACGCGGGTCGGACCGAGCTGCCCGACAACCTCAAGGCACTCTTCCGACCGGTCGCGATGATGGTGCCCGACTACCGCCTCATTGCCGAAATCGTGCTCTTTTCCGAAGGATTCGCCAACGCGCTCCCGCTCTCGCACAAGATGACGCAGCTCTACTCGCTCTCGTCCGAGCAATTGAGTAAGCAAGACCACTACGACTTTGGCATGCGCGCCGTCAAGAGTGTCCTTGTCGCGGCCGGGCAGCTCAAGCGCAAGTGGCCGGAAACCCACGAAGATTTGCTCTTGATCCGCGCCATGCGCGACTCGAACGTGCCGAAATTTCTCGAGGCCGACCTCCCGCTCTTCCGCGGTATCATTTCCGACTTGTTTCCGGGTGTGCTCGTCCCGTTCGTCGACTATGGCGTGCTTCAGAAAGCGATTGAAACGCAGCTCGAGGCGCTCAATTTACAGCAAGTGGCGTCGTTTGTCATCAAAGCCATCCAAGTGCACGAGACGCAGCTCGTACGCCACGGCATGATGCTCGTCGGCGAGGCGGGCAGCGGCAAGTCGACCAACGCCATGATTCTCGCGCGCGCCCTCTCTTCCTTGCATGCCGATGGCGTCGTGGACCGCGACGGCTTTTACAAGACGGTGACGCGCTTGATTTTGAACCCAAAGAGTATTTCGGCCGGCCAGCTCTACGGCGAGTTCAATCTGCTCACGTCCGAGTGGACCGACGGCCTCGTGCCCAAGCTCGTACGCCAAGCGGTCACCGAGGCCGCCGAGTCGGACGCACGCAATTGGGTCATTTTTGACGGACCGGTCGACGCCGTCTGGATCGAAAACATGAACACGGTCCTCGACGACAACAAGACGCTGTGTTTGAGCAACTCGGAGCGCATCAAATTGCCGTCCACGCTCCACATGATGTTTGAAGTCCAGGATCTTCGCGTCGCGTCGCCGGCGACCGTGAGTCGATGCGGCATGGTGTACATGGAGCAAGTGCATGTCGGTCTCTTGTCGCTGGCGAGGACATGGAAGATCAACGTGCTCGACACGTTTGCGTCGGCGGAGATCGCGACGACGCTCCTCGAGCTCATCGAGATGCACGTCCCGGCCGCGATCGGCTTTGTCCGCGCCAAATGCAAGGAGAAGATTCCGAGCAACAACGGCAACCTCATGACGTCGTTCCTCAACTTGCTCGCGTCCTGTCTACGCGCCGCCATCACGGGCGCAGCGACGGGCACCGATCTTGGATCCCTCGCGCGCATGTACTTTATCTTTAGCCTCACCTGGAGCGTCGGCGCCAACATTGACGACGCGTCGCGACCCCGCTTTCACGACTTTTGCCTCGACCAACTCCGCACCTTGTTTGAGTTTGTGGGACCGATCGACAATGTGTACAATGTCGCGATCGATGACGTCAACGCCAATTGGGTCTCGTGGGTCCACCGCACGCCGCACTTCAAGTATGACGCGTCGCTGTCGTACTTTTCAATGCTCGTGCCGACGCAAGACACGACGCGGTTCCGGTACCTCCTCGAGCGTCTCATGTCCAACAACCACCACGTGCTGTACAGGTATCTCGATCTAGATTTCTTGCTAGAAATTTTGGAGAGATGGATAAATTTGTCGGTAGTGGCGAGACGGGGGTCGGGAAGAGCGTCGTGATTCAGTCGTTTCTGGACGAAATGGCCAAGACCGACAACTTTGTCGCGGCGACCATGGGCTACAGTGCGCAGACCAAGCCCGCGAATCTCAACGAGATGCTCGAACTCAAACTCGAAAAGAAGCGCAAGAACCTTCTGGGACCACCGTCGGGGAAGAAGATGCTCATGTTCATCGACGACCTCAACATGCCTGCGCTCGAGGTCTACGGCGCGCAGCCACCCAACGAGCTGCTACGCCAAGTCATTGACCAGAACGGGTACTATGACACGGACAAGATGTTCTTCAAGAACGTGACCAACGTCGTCTTTGCGGCCGCGTGCGCTCCCCCCGGCGGCGGGCGCAGCGAGGTGACGCCCCGCTTGATCCGGCATTTTCACATGGTGTGGATCCCGAATCTGTCGCCGGACGCAATGACGCAGATTTTCGTCTCGATTCTCAGCGGGTTCTTGGAGCTCGAAGTGCCATCGCTCGCCCATATGGGTCGTCCGATCGTCTCGGCCAGCGTCCAGCTCTACCAGCGCGTCGAAGCCGAGTTGCTCCCCACGCCGTCCAAGTCGCACTACACGTTCAACCTCCGCGATCTCTCCAAAGTCTTTCAAGGCGTCCTCATGATCACCAAGGAGCACGCGTCGTCGATTGACGCGCTGGTGCAGCTCTGGCTGCACGAAGAGGCGCGGGTCTTCCGAGATCGGCTCATTGACAGCGCCGACCGCACGTGGTTCAATACCGCATGCGCCGCGCTCCTCGAGACGCATTTGCAGCTGTACTGGGAACCCTCGACGTTCGAGAACCTTTTGTACGGCGACTTTGTGTCCCGCGAGAACAAGAAATACCAAAGCATCGACGACATGGGCCGCCTCAACACGCTTCTCCTCGAGTACCTCGAAGAGTACAACATCACGTTTCCGAGCCAGATGTACCTCGTCTTCTTCAACGACGCGATCCACCACGTGAGCCGCATCTGCCGCATCTTGCGCCAACCCCGCGGCAACGCGCTGCTTGTCGGCGTCGGCGGGTCCGGTCGACAGAGTTTAACGCGCCTCGCGGCCTTTATGGCCGACTACAAGTGCTTCTCGATTGAAATCACTCGCGGGTACGGCCCCAACGAGTTCCACGAAGACCTCAAGAAGATTTTGATGGTCGCGGGCGCCGAGGCTAAGCCGGTGGTCTTTCTCTTCTCCGACACGCAAATCGTTGTCGAGTCGTTTTTGGAGGACATCAACAATGTCCTCAACACGGGCGACGTCCCAAATCTGTATGCGGCCGACGAAATGGAGAAGATCGTCGGCATGGTCCGGCCACTCGCCGCCGCTGTGGGTAAAATGACCCGCGAAGACATTATTGCGCACTACATTATGCTCGTGCGCGAGAACCTCCACATGGTGCTTGCGTTCTCTCCGATCGGTGGCGGGTTCCGCAACCGGTGCCGCATGTTCCCGTCGCTTGTCAATTGCTGCACGATCGATTGGTTCTCGGCGTGGCCCGAAGACGCGCTCAACTCGGTCGCGATTCGGTTCCTCGCGGCCGCCGCCGACGAGCTCGGCATTGAAAAGCACGTGCAATCGCTCTGCGGCATGGCCGTCACGATCCACCGCAGCGTCGAAGTCGCGACCGCCAAGTACTTTAAAGAGCTCAAGCGCCAGACGTATACGACACCAACCTCGTACCTCGAGCTCATTCGGCTCTACGTCGACATGCTCCGCACGCAGCGCGGACTCGTCAAGGCCAAGGAAGCCCGGTACCGCGGAGGGCTCAAGAAGCTCGCGGAGACGGAGGACATTGTCGGCAACCTCAAAGTCGAGCTCACGGAGCTCCAGCCCGTCCTTGTCAAGAGTCAGCAAGAGACGTCGGACCTCCTCATTCAAGTGAGCAAGGACCAAGAGGAAGCGGATAAGCAACAGGTGCTCATCGAAGCGGACGTGCGCGCCGCCAACTTGATTGCTGACGAAGTCAAGATCATCAAGGACGACTGCCAAAAGGACCTGGACGAAGCGATGCCAGCATACTATGCAGCGATCGGCGCGCTCAACTCGCTCAAGAAGGACGACATTACGGTGCTAAAGACGTTTACGAACCCGCCCAAGATGGTCGGCGTTACGCTCAACGCGGTCTGTCTTCTCTTTGGCGCCAAGCAAGAGTGGAACGAAGCCAAGAAGCTCTTGAACGACATGAAGTTTCTCGACAAGCTCAAGGAGTACGACAAGGACAACATTCCGACCAAGACGATTCGGCAATTGGCCAAATTCATGCAAGACGAAGAGTTTACGCCCGAGAACCTCTCGTCCATCTCGTCGGCGGCCACGTCGCTCTGCATGTGGGTACGCGCCATGTACACGTACGACACGGTCGCCAAGAACATTGGCCCGAAGAAGGAGAAACTCAAGGCCGCCGAAGCGTCGCTCGCCGACGAGCAGGCAAAGTTGGATGTCAAGCAAGCGGGGCTGAACGAAGTGTTGGCCAAAGTCGCGGCGCTCAAGCGCACGCTCCAAGGAGCACAAAAGAAGAAGTCGGACCTCGAAGCCCAGACGTCGCTGACGCAAGCACAGCTCGTGCGCGCCGAGAAGCTCATCGACTCGCTTGGCGAAGAGAAAGGCCGGTGGTGCGACTGCGCCGACTCGCTCAAGATCGATATGGTCAACCTGGTCGGCAACATGATC